CGAGCAGGGAGCCCGATGCGGGACTCGATCCCGGGACTCCAGGATCATGACCTGAGCCGAAGGCAGTCGCTTAACCAACTGAGCCACCCAGGTGCCCTGAACATGATTATTTATAAGAAAACATACAAGAGATTAAGAAACCATATTTATTTCTTCTTTGGTACAACCAGGGATGTTACCTCAAACCTTGAAAATAAATAACCTCATTAAAACTTATGAATTGTCAGGATATTAAAATTCCTTCTTTGCTTCACATAGAAGAGCTCAAAACATTAATGGGTTTGGGATACAGTACAGTTCAACAGAAATCCAGGCTGACTACAAAAACCAACACGTGACGTAAGGAAATCATTGCGGACGGCTCCCGAGAGGACACACTGCCGGGCATTTTAAGCACCAGTTCTAGTGACTACAGTGAGGTTTCTTCCTCACTGGTCTGATAATCCTCTGTATAACCGAAACAGTAATCTGAGAACATCTAAATAAAAAAGGAAAAGAACTACTCCAGCTAAGGAAAACCAAACAGTTGTCCTTCTTTATTGGCACAGTGGCCCACGACGGGTCACACGTGTACGGCGCGCTGAAGTTCAACATCCCGGGAATAGGATTATAAATTTATTTAAAGGGAGGGTTTTGGGGTTTTGTTTTTGTTTTTATCTGATGACTCTCCTGTCTCCCCTCCAGGGGCAAAGCAAGAGGATTTATTGAATAGCACCATTGTTTTAAATCTGTCATTAAGACTTATGTAATAACGTTGATGGTAATGCATCGTTGTCTCTTGCCTCGGCTTCGGTGGTGTTTCTCCTCCACGCTCCTTTGCCAGGCATGGTTTATGCAGACAGCCACGTGGCACTAAGCTTTTCACTGATCGGGCCCTTTGCTAAATGCCCGTTGCCCAGCCTGCAGGGTGCAGGAGGCTGGCTCGCAAAACCCAGGAGGGCCAGGAGGGCCCGGGGGACCAGGTACCCCGGGAATTCCTGCCACCCCTGGGGGGCCTCGCTCGCCATCCCGGCCATTCCTCCCGTAGCTGGCAGGACCTGGTTCACCTGAAACACAAACGATTGCACATGTGAACAGGAGAACCCCAAAGGCTGTGAGCTGGCCGAAGGCCCCGGACTCCCTCCCCCAGCCCAGCGGGGTGCACACAGGGCCTTAGTAAGTGCTTTTGGAAATGATGGATGAAGATCGATGATGATGATGATGATAAAATTCCTTCGCTGGACTTGGGTTTCTTAGAAATTAAAAACGGAAGGAGGCCTCAGCATCTCCAGTACGGTAGCCTCTAGCCACAAATGTCTATTGAGCACTGAAATGTGGCTAAGTCAAATTGGGATGAAGTGTAAGAGTGTAAAACACACCTGGACTTTGAAAAATTAAAATATATTTCATTAATAATTTTTGTTATTACATGATAAAATGATAATATTTTGGTCGCAATGGGTTAAACTGTATTATTAAAATTAATTTCACCTGATTCTTTTGACGTTGATAATGTGGCTACTAGCAGATTTAAAAGTATGCACACAACTCTCCTTGTGGCTCACACTGTATTTCTCCAGCGGCATCATCCCTAACAGGTGATCTGTCTCCAGACAGGGAGTCCAAGTATAGCTCAGTGGTTAGAAGCATAGGATTTAGAGACAGATAGCTCTAACTTCTTGCTCTGGCATTTGTGATTAGGGTGACATTAGCAAGTCACTAAATGTTCAGTTTCTTCATCTCCAAGATGGGACGATATACCTTCCTCAAAACTAACTTCCATGCCTGAAAGCATCTAATAAACAGGGGCTATTATGATTATGAGGATATCACTGATGGATGTCTTAGAAGCCTGTGCAATGCACCTACAAACTTCCCAGATGTTTTCTCATCAGGGGTTCACGCCTACGTGAACTGCATCATGGCCTGAGTTCCTTGGGAGCATTTTCTCCCTTTGTCATGTTCAAAGGTTGTTTGGTCACCCCATGGGGCACATTCTCTGAAGCAGAGTACCCCATAACAGGAATTTCTGCTGAATGTTTACGCACCCCATCATACCAGCAGTGTTTTAGCACTATTAGTGTAAAGATGGCGGGAAGAAACCAGTGTGAGACAAATTGTATATGCCATGATGATACAGTTTCATAGAGATCCTCATTCCATCTCAGCCATCCTACGTCGGCCATTCAGCCAGACGGTGAACATGTTCAATTATGTATTTACTTAGATTTACTTTCCTTCTCTCTCAGTGATTTTAGTTTTCTTTTTCTATTTTCGTGGTCTTATTACACATGTCTTTTACTGGTCTTATTATAGTGGTCTGGTCTTATTAAGTCATCTGATTACATATATCTCACTTTCACTTATTTTTTCATTTATTTTAGATTTTATTTATTTATTTGACAGAGGGAGCACAAGCACAAGTAGGCAGAGCAACAGAGGGAGAGGGAGAAGCAGGCTCTCCACTGAGCGGGGAGCCCAACAGCGGACTGGATCTCAGGACCTGGGATCATGACCTGAGCCGAAGGCAGACACCTAACAGACTGAGGCACCCAGGCGCCCTCTCACATACTTTTAGAAGGAAGACAGATTAGAGATCTTACTTTGTATGTAAGATCTCATTCTTCCTGTGATTCTCTCAATTAGATCCACACACAGCAAGAAGACAGAACAACATATTATTAAGTTTTAAGAGAATTATCTTTGATTCTATCCATCTCAAGGCTGTAGATAAGCAGAGATGTAAGTAATTCCGCCTAATGTATCCCATAAGCCTCCATTTAACTATATTAAGTTGTAGTGAAGCAGATGATTGTGTTTTCCTCTAAAGACCAGGCCCCTGAGAAAGTCTTTCCCTAATCAAGAGCACCTATAAATAAGCCTGTAGCAGAGCCTCTTCACATCTCCTGATACAAGCAGTTGTTCAAACTTGCTCTTTTAAGGTTTAAAAGCTAGGCCAGATAAAGGGGCACATAAAGGGTAACTTTCATAACTTTAGGAGCAGCACTATTCCCATGGAGACATACCAGGTCTGCCTTCACAAAATCAAATCAAGATGAAGAGGAGAAAAATGCCCAAAGGAGAGGTCACAAACCAAATGACCCCAGAGGCAAAGCGGGTAAGGCAGATTGGGGCGGGCGAACAGAGGGGAGCCCATGAGCCAACCCCTATTTTTGTAAATAGTTCTACTAGAACAGAGCCATGGCCATTTGTGTATATATTACCGACAGCTGCTTTTTCACTACAAGGGCAGAGCTGTATAACCTCCACAGAGCCTGCAGGGCCCACAGATCCAAAAACTCTGGCCCTTTACAGAAAAAGTTTGCTGGCCCTTAAGGTAGTAAAGAAATGCCCTGCAGTCTTTACAAGAAGAAAACTGATGTAATGAGAACTCCCCATTGGTGGGAGGGAGGCAACAGGGAGGACGGGCCTGGGGCAGCTCGGCTCCAGCCAACAGCTGCCATGAGGGAAGACGCACCGGAGCCTGCAGAACCTCTGCTAATTGTCAAGGAAAGCTAGAAGCTGCATTCTGGAATAGGTCTCTCCGTTTCTACGTGTTACCAACTAATTCAAATTTTTATTGAACATTTGTACGGCCAGCCTCCTGCCTAAAACCTTAAACTTAAGGGAATTTATTCTCTACTACACAACAATATTAGAAAGCAGAAGGAAAGGGGCGCCTGGGTGGCTCAGTCATTGAGAGTCTGCCTTCGGCCCAGGTCATGATCCAAGGGTCCTGGGATGGAGCCTCGCATCGGGCTCCCTGCTCAGCGGGGAGTCTGCTTCTCCCTCTGCCTCTGCCATTCCCCACTGCTTGTGCTCTGTGTGTCTCTCTGACAAATGGATAAATAAAATATTTGGGAAAAAAAAGAAAGCAGAAGGAAAGCTTTTTAGGTTTTCATATGTGATTCCCCATCACTACACATTCCAGGAGAGGTTTTTCCCTTGCTGCCTTTATTCCAGATTCCTGCTCATCCTTTGAGGAAAGAGTTGATGAGGCCATCCTGTGTACCCTCGATTTACTTTATGTAAAGTACATCTAGTCCAATTCTCCCTTGGGCAAATACAGCAATTGACCCTCTGGAGCTCTGGATGTCACTGTCATCATCAACACTTATAAAATATTTCCATTTTACCATGGCCATGAACTGTGCTCATTATTGATCCTATTTTCCTCTTGTGTGAACTGAGAGTTAAGAAGGCTAAATAATCGTCCAACGTCACACAGCTAGAGGGTGTTGCAGCTAGAAACAAGGGCCCTTCCCCGCTACTCTAACGCAACCGTATTTCCATACCCACTGATGAGCTAATTCTGCCGAGGTGTGTGCGCGATTGCGCGTGCGCATGCCGGCCTGTGTGGGTGGGAGGGTGTTTTTTGTTTAATTTTTTGCACCTGAATTGACTAGGGAGCAAAAAGAGGCACAATAACCAAGAGTAGTACTGATTCTTCTGGAGCTCTATCATAAGAAACTAAAGATATTTTTTCTGAGGTTTTGTCCTGTAGAAATGACCAGAGGAAAAAAACCCAGCCGTCACATAACAGATCATCATCAATTTCTGGTGAGTCCGCACCCTGGGCATTTACTCTCAAATGTTCTTGTTACTGTTTAGGATGTAATTTTGGGGTGACACTATGTCACAGTCCAAATCATTCAAGAAGTCCAGCAGCTGCATTAGCGAGTATCTATAAACTACCCTCCAACTCTTCAGAAGAAAACAGATCTGAAGTGTTTTCATTCTGCTTTGTCTCCCTCGTGGGTGTGTTAGCTGCACTAACTAGCTAATGATTACACAGTTTTCTGAAATTTCAAGGACCTATAAAAACGTTACAGCCAAATATTTCGTTACTTTTAAAAATGAATGTCTGTGTCATTCTCTGTGCGAACACTAGAGGGTAGTCATGTTACATTGATGGAGACCAGTCCCCGCTGGAACATTCTGAAGGATCTAATACATGCTGCAGAGTGAAAGGGACTGTGTATAAAGGCCTTAAAAAAAAAAAAAAAAAACCTGAAAGTGATTTTCAGCATTAATTTGGTGATTTATCCATGGGTTATGTAAAATGTTTGTATGTTCCAGGGACTTCCTTACATTTCTCACCTTACGCTGAGCTTACTTTTGTGGTGTTTGACAAAGCATATGTTTAAGGAATTGGCATAAAGCCGTTTATTTATATAAGATCCCCATAGCCAAATAAAATAGCTGCAGTGATGGAAATAGGATAAATGGCTACTGCTAAACCAGCCTAAACTGAGTGTGCCCTTGGCTTGGGGCTTGTTGGGGTTTTTTCCACTCAATATTCACAAGCAAAGCTCACCTCTGTGCAAATTTTGCATAAGAAACCTAAATAGCCCAGTTGCCTAGTGTGACCCTGCACAAAGCCAGCTCTGCCCTTCTCTCCTCGTCCAAGAAGGGAAAGCTTGTCAGTTTACAAGCTGCATTCCTGGTGGTCACATACATATGAGTCCTTATTGAACTGGCTTCTTCCCCCCATGAGTTTGAATGCACAGTGGAGATCAGGACCTATTATTAAATATGTTTCCTTAAAATCCTCAGAGCGTCAAGGAACTGGTCCCAAGTAGGCAAGTTAAGTGGCAGTAGGGCATAGAGAGTTACCCTTAATGAGACAACCCAATCAAGCGATGCCACCAAAGGCCTGTGGGAAGAAACCGAAGGTGGGGGTGGGGGGTTGAGGGCATCTAAAGTCCTGGGGATCTCTAATGTGATCCACTCTGCTCTGTGAGAGAGGTGAAAAGGAATCAAGACACTAAGTGGTTATGGGACTTGCTGAAGTTATATGGCTAGAGTGGCGAAGACAAACGAATCACATTACTAGACAGCTCAACATTTTGTCTACTACATGAACCTGGACCTAGAAAGTATGAATATTTGCCTCTGCCACTTATTACCTGAGAGACCTTTGTTAGAGCAGGTGAACTTTTAAGTCTGTATTTCCTCAAACATAAACAGAGGAATACAAAATAATAATAGCTAAGTTTGCAGCATGCTGGCCATATGCCAGGCACTGTTCTAAGTGTTTCACATGTATTAACATGTACATAGATCCTCCTAAATAACTCTAGAAGGTACATGTGGTTATTAACCTTGTGATACGGAGGAGAAACCGAAGTGCTAAGAGGTGAAGCAGCTGCAAGTAAGTGACAGCCGTGTATACACCCTGCAAGCTTGGCTCCAGAGCCCATCCTTCCTAAATACCCATTCTGCCTCCCTCCGGCTGTGGGAAACACACTGGAGGATTCATGGGTACTCTTCAGACAACAGAGCACTTCAGCCAAAAACGATAGTCAGCGTGGCGGTTATCGTAATGATCTAGGGCCATAGGAAGCAATGTACCATTACAGCCCCAAAGGGCCGCATGATACTTAACACTGAACAGTGAGATACAATATGGAGAGGAGACAACTAAAACCGTCCATGAAGAGCAAAGGAATTCTGATAACCGATAAATAATTAATGTATTAGTTACATTTTTTTCCCAAATATATCAGATATGTTTGCTTCAGGAAGAATGATCAAATGAACTTTTCTCATCCAGGAGGATTTAAGTCCCGAATCCAAGTCCAAATTAAGGGACAATAAGGAAGGTTGCGGGATGTCCTGTTCTGCAGGATGTTTCTTTTAGGTACCAGACAAGTCCCTGCACCAAGTGCTACTGGAAGTTCCTCCAGTCCCTGAAGTCCTATTACTATTGTGTTTGTGAGAGACCAGAAACCACATTCCTAATCACATTCCAGGCTCTGCCAGGGAAATTAAAAAGCCCAGCCTCTCAGTGGACAGTGAACTCGTTCAATAATTTACTGTGAGCCAGTACTTTGCATTTATGATTTGGAGTCGGAAGTCACCCAATGTCATAGAGCTAGTAAGTGACAGAGTCAAAATTTGAACCCAGGATGTCTGAACTGTGGAGCTCCCAAATAGCCCACTTTCCCAGTACTAGCTTAAGGGGAGGAATGACCCAAAGAGCTCTTGTTTGGGGACTGATGGATTCGAGAAATTGTTAGCTAAGCATATTCATAGTGTAGACGAGAGAATGTGAGCTGACCTAAAAACCAAAGAAAACCAGAGTACCCGGCTGGCGCCTCAGGGACTGGGGGAAACATAAACCCTTTGTGCCTGTGTGCTAAAGCACTTGCGAAACTGCATGCTTTTGAAAGGTAGCCCAAACTTGTAAAATATAACCTGAAACTCAGATTTCCCACTAAATAATGTCAGTATCCTTCAAGAAATATAACCAAAGCATAGACCAAGACCAGATTTCGGAGTGGTACCAGGAAGCAAGGGGCAAGGACTGGCAAAAGGCAGAAAGGAAAAGGCAAAGGACAAGTGCAGCAGTCCTGAAATAGCCCATAAATGTTTTTAACAAATCATATTTAAGTATTAAATCCAAGACCAGCTATAACAAGTTGATTTTTTCATAAGGGAGACTAGATGAGGACCAGGCAGAACTGCCAGTGATGAGCTCATCCCGCCCTAACCACTGTGCCCACACACAAATGTCTCATGTACTAAAAAGCAAATCAGGGAAGCCCCTTTTGGGGAGAGCAAAGGCCCAAGAGCACATGTAAAGCCCTCCCAGTCAGAGTCAGCACATCTGAGTGGGTGACTGCATGTGGGGAATACTGTGTCCCCTCACAACAGCCTGGGACACTGAACTTACAGAGCTGGGTCTGCCTCAGTCTTCTCATTTGAAACCTAAAACATGGTTTATCAACTGAGTTTTTGAAACTAAGAGTCATCAGAAATGATAATATATTTCTGATAAAGGAAAATCTTGCCAAGAATGCACGTTGCTGGTCTGAGAACTGTTACATGATTTGTCAACAAAATAGAAGGAGAAAGAGAAATTGTAAGGCAATGCTACAATATACAGATAAGTGAATTGTAACGGTATTTTTATCAACTTTAAACCACCTACTGCTACCACTGATAAAGGAGGAAAGCACTCAGTAAATTCTATTTCCCTTTCCTCTTCTAAACATCCATCAATGAATGTAGACTTTATCATACACTGAAATCTTCTCTTGGTCCCATGTAGCTTCAACTAGATTTTCTTTCCTTTTCCAATCATAAAAACTTCCTTTCCCAATCACGAAAATTTATCAATTTGTGAAAGCATCTTGACAGACCCATGAATCACAGCTTTAGCAAAGCAGTGTTTGAGCCATCTCCAAATGTATCCGTATTTAAAAAAAAAAAAATTTAATGAGAAAGCAATTCCCAGGAGCAATGAAATGGATAATGAAAAAGCAGTGTTTTTGGCCGCAATTAGAGTCACGATTGAATAGGTAAGCCTCTGTCAGAATTAGAAAATGAGCATTTCTTTTTCTAAATTTCCCTACACCAAGTTTTCCAAATCCACTGTGGAAGCATGGACCACCCTTTCTCTGCAGAACCTCTCACCCTGACTCTCCTCAGCTCCGGGGTTTGGGAGCCTTCCTTAGCCACCACCCCGGCAGCTGTAAGGGTTCGCTGGGAGGCTGCATGTCATTCATGCCCTCAGACCCAACTGACTTTCCACCCTGCTCTGCTGCTTCTGGGGTTGGGCTGGTAGGTCATTTCCCGGCGGATGAGTGGGTGGCAGCTTGAGCTGAGGGGACAGAGTAGCCAGTGTGTAAAGAGAGAACAGACGCCCAGTGAGCAAATCCAGGCTCTTCACACAGAGGCAACTTTGTCGCCTCAGCCAACACAGCTGTGATACCCGGCTTGTGCATGGCTCTTTGTGGTTATATGAATAGGAATGTTCAGGTTTATTTATTTTATTTATTTTTTTTGGATATGGGTTTCTGGAGGGTCTGGATATTTGAAACAGGAGCTTTTAAAATAAGATTTCAGTTACTCCCTATGCAACATGAGTAGTTTGAAAACTTGGATTTTCTTGTTGCTCTTTCTGGTTAAAAATAAACAGAAAACTATCAACGAGACTGACAATGGATAGGACCTCATTCATTCAGAATTTTCTAACGAGTGCATTGTGGCTGGACCTTGACACGATTTTTTTAAATCATCTATTCAAAAAATTAATATTTTAAGCCCTGATACTTGTTTTCTCAGGAGGAACACAGGCATCATTTACAAATCATTTGACTCTTCATTAAAGTTGCCTTGAAAAATCTGTGCCAGCCATTATTGTTACAGGCTTAAGTAATCAAAGAGCAAATCTTTAAAATGGTATCCAATTCAGACTGCCCACTTGCTACCAATTTCTCAACCCCGTGCTGCCATATAACACACTTACCTGGGAGACCTGTAGCTCCAGGCAAGCCCTTAGGACCTCTTCCAGGAGGGCCCCGTTCCCCCCTTTCTCCCAAGTCACCTGCATTTCATTAGAGAAATGTTATTTTTCTATATGTCTATAAAAAGAAAGTTCCATATTTTTAAACTTTAAGCAAACCCAGCATTGAGAAAGCAAAAGGTCATGAAATTGCCACAAACTAGGTTGTAGTAAATATGTAGCAAGGCAAAACTTCAGTCAATTATATGAAGAGATCGAAGGGGAAAAAATCTAATAATCATATTCATCAAATGATAAACAAACTAAATCAAATATCAAATGATCAACATTCAGTAAAATAAGAATCAAAAGCTACCTCCTTAACATGATAAAATATATCTACCTCAACCCAAGAGTTAGCATAAGGCTGAATGGGAAACACGAGAAGCAGTTTCACTACCCACAGAACATCAGAGATGCCCACTTTATCACTAGTATTTGTCATTTGGTTTGAGAGTCAAAAACATCCCTCTTTTTAAGTGGTATCAGTGTGTATCTTAAATCCTTGAAAAGCAACTCAAAATCTACAACAAGCAATGAGAGAATTCAGTAAAGTAGCAAGATACAAAATTAATATATGAAAATCAGTAGTTTTCATATATACAAACAACCACCAGAACTAAGATGTAGTGAAAAAATATCCCATTTATAATAGCAATTAAATTAATAACAAGGAATAAGTTTAATCAGAAATATGCAAATCCAACATTAAAAAAATAACATTTCTAAAGGATACAAAAGGACTTGACAACTATTCTTAGGTGGAATGCCTTCATCACACAAAGGTGTAGTTCTCCCTAAGCTGAAGTTTCATCATGATCCCAATAAAAAGATTTTTTTTTAACCGAAAAGGGGGATTCTGAAGTTTGTACAGAAGAATGCATAAACCAGAGTAGCCGTAAAAACTCCAAAAAGAAAAGCTACATGAAGGGAATTAATCCTACTGCATATTAAACCAATTAAAATGGGGTGGTACTGGTACATGAATGGATAGACCAGTGAAACAGCCCCAAAACAGGCTCCGATACATACAGGATTTTGTTTTGTAATATATGTGCCATCTTAAAGTGGGAAGCAGTCAAGTAAGTCAATAAATGGTGCTGGAAAAAGTAGGTAGCCAGCTGGAAAAAAAAGTAGAATCTGTTCCTCACAACATAATCCAGGATACATTACAAGTGGATCAAATATTTAAATGAAATTTAAGAATCAGAAGAAAACAAGGGAAAATTATTTTATAACTTCAGATTTGAGCTGGCCTTTCTGCTATGATTCAAAATATGAAGAAGAGTTCCTAAAATCAATACAAAAAGGTCAACAACAATAAAAAAAAAGAATATATAAGCAAGAAAGTCACTAAAAGGAAACAAAAATAGCTCTGAAATATATGAAAAATTCCTCAACTTCACTCTCACATCAAAATACACGGAAATTTAAAAATAACATGAAAGCTACTTTGAACTGTAAGATAGGCAAAAATTCCAAAGTTGAATCAAACCTATGCTAGCAGGTCTGTGGAAAAACACATTATTACATATTGCTAATAAGACTGCAAATTGGGACAGTCTCTTGGAGGATAATTTAACAGTGTCTATCAAAATTACAAATGGCAGTACCATTTTACCTGGCAATTCCACTTCCAGGAATTTATCATAGAAAGAGGTTATGTTGATATTTACACAAAAATGAAATAGTGTTTTCCACGGCAGCCTTGCCGTAATGGCAGAAGACTGGACACTAAATGCCCACGAGAGGCTTAAATGCACTATGCTATTTCTGCAGAATGGCATACTATGCAGCTAGGAAGAACCAGGAAGCTCCTTGAAACGATCTCAAGACCTGTTGTTCAGTGAATAAAACGCAAGGTCCAGATCATTACTAAAGGGCAAAAAGACTTGTTTCTAAAAGGCTGTAGGGAATGTGTGTAACCATATATTGTACCTCATCACTGGTAAGGATACATAGGAAACTCATAAAAGTGATTACCTAATGGGAAGGATAAAGGAATCCAGGCAGATAGGAGACCGGGGTGGCGGGAGAAAAACTCTTCGCTAAATATCTTTTCGTATATTTTTAAATTCTCAAACACTGTAAATGTAGTGTCACTGAAAGTAAATTAATGAATTTTCAAAAGTTAAAATGTGCTACCACAAGTGCCTACATTTCGTTTGTGATTCACTATTTACAGGGAATGTGCTTTGGATTACAACCAACCGTGTGTATTTGCAAGACAGCTGATTGAATTTGGGGATTCAGAAGCCACAGAACCAAGTTTCATTAATTATCCTGGCTCCTGCAGAGAAACCCGGAAACTTGGCCTCATTAACAAAGTGCCCTAATACCTAGTCAACTGCTCCTAGATGACATTTATGGCTCCTAGTAGAAGACATTATTCTACTATCCCATTGGTATAGTATTATGTTATTATCCTACTACTCTTTCAGAAGATTCAGTGGCATTTTGCAAGATTCTATACATAATCATTTTTTCCAAACATTTGTCTCGGCCCAACTTTATTCAATATTAAGTCAAGTTTGTTATAATTTAAAAAACAAAAGCATGCATGCCAAAATAGCAAAAAAAAAAAAAAAAAATCTCTATGAAGTGAATGTTTAAATAGTCACCGTACTTTGATGTTGGCTGTGAATGTCCTTGTATGAATATTTTTATCATGAATCAACTATATTTTTAAAACAATTTTAAAATTATATAAATACTGCATAAGGATATAGAGCTCAAGTTGAACTCATACTCACATAAGCTGTTTTTTTAATCCTCCTCATCAATATGGCCTTACTATATTAGGAAGATACGACAATTAGCATTTTAAAAACTAACAACTTAAGCGCTCTTGTTAACTTAGCAATTTAAATGTCATATCCCTGTAATTCTGGAGGCTAGCAATGAGAAGAGAACCAATAAATGTGCCACATTTTCTGAAGACAGGAGATGAAGATTATAAATTGAAATGTAACTTTCACGCAGACAGTGAAAGTTAAACACATTCTGGCATGAAGCCACATCCCCTTTAAAATGTCGCTTGTAAGGAAGAAGACTGCTGTCTTGGTGCTGATGCTGCCCTGTGGTTGTCAGTCATAGAAACACAATTTTTAGGTGGGCTCCAGGAAAGAGGTGCGTGGCAGCAGACAGAGCTGCGGCCGGGCTCTGGGATCCCCAGGGTCCATCCGCTTCTTCAAACCCTGATCATGTCTTCTTTTGACATGTCTGAAAACTGGCTCAGGGAACTAAAGTCCACTTTTATTTGCTAGCCTACTGTGTGGAAAAATAGAGCGAGCTTGTAAAATGAGCTTTAGATAAGGTAAAAAGGGAAATGTGCAGTGTAAGTAGCAAAACAGCTCCCTCTGAACAGAGTGGCTAAAACGAAAGAAATTCTCATTGCTCCGTAGTTGCAGTTTATTTCATTTATTTGAAAGCTATAACTGATACTCCGACCCCATGCAAGCAGATTAATACCGAAAAAAAGTGTTACAGTAATGACGTGTATTTTCTCATGCCATCACTTACATATCGACACATCTGTCTGACTCACTAAAGTATCAAAAAATTGATATATAGCCTTACTCAAAGGGATTTAAAATTAATCCAAACCATCAACATTTAAAAATAGTATTTATGACACAAAAGACTAATACTAAACAAAGTGAACATAAAGCCAATTAGGTATCTCTCATGTTTCTGCTTGAGTATACATATAAAATCTACATGCAGCATGGGTCTTGGCCCTGTTTGTATAATATTGCACAGAACATGTCAATGAAAAACAAAAAAATATATAAATATGATTTAAGATTTGAGTATGATTTCTGGCATCTACAAACTCCTACTGAAAATGTTTCACTGTGTTTTGCAGACCAGTTTTATAGGAAAAAAATTATTTTATTAAAGACATAGTTTGAACTGCTAAAAGCTTTAGTAAAATTTATTTGTTCATTATTTATGTAGTAATTTCCTTGGGAAAAGACTCTTCAAGTAATATGGTGAGCAAGACTCAGACTACCCCTTTATTAGGCATGGGAAAAAGGCAACAGGTGACACTGAACTACATCTCTTCTCAAAGTGGCTGAACATTTAAGTTTCAAATGCTGGAGTATTTGTTCTCCAGGAAGAACTGATCTGTAACCTTTGACTAGTGGGACATTATATGTTTTCAATTAAATATTACTGTTATAATGTATGTGGTAGAACAAGAAAGGTCAAGTCCGGGTACCTGGAATCATACATTTCCAAATTTGTGACAGCACTCATTTAAATCCAGTGATAGTACTCCTTTCTTCCCATACCCCAAATTTCAAGAAGTAAAACAGAGAAGATGCTGCTTTAAAAGAACCCAGTGATAATAAAGGGATGGAGGAGGGTGGGCAGAAAAAGTCCTTTAGAGAAAAGAAAAAAGACTATATCTTTTCTAGATTATGGACTATGTCATAAATACTGAAGAAGCATTAGGAGGAAGTCCCTTATACAATCAAACTATGCTTGATGAATAAACTCTGTGCCAGGGGCATTTTCCGGGTTCCAAATACAGAAATATATTTTTCTCCCCTTCAAAATAAGGTTCATCTGCTAGATCCAAGTCAGCCCAACACAGCCACTGAAAATTCAGTGCTGCTAGGAGCTTCCCAGGAAGCTTCTTGAACATTTCACCTTTGTTTCCTATTGTTCCCAACCCTGGTTGTATATTAAAATCACATGGGAATGTTTTTAAATCCTGCTGCTCAGACCTATTAAGTCAGAATCTCTGGGAATGGGATTGAGCTGTGGACAGTGTTTAAAGCTCCCCGATGATTCCACGGTTCGCCCCAGGCTGAGAAACGCGGCTTTAGGCAGTCTCTACCAGCACAGTAAGTAGACATGGACGTTCTTACTTCTTAGAACATGAAATGGGACTTCAGGCGAGTTCTCCTACTAACTCAAAGTTAAGTTCTGCCCCACGTATGGAGACTTCCTTTTAGCCAAAGAAAACAGAGGGCTGTGATTTCTATAGCCCCTACAAGGTGTTCCTTTTCAGCAGGAAAATGGGTGACTGCTTTACATGGTGCATTTAGCAGCATCAGATTCATCTGGAGGCTTGTTAGAACACAGACTGCTGGGCCCCACCTGCAGACTCTCGGATCAGTGGGACCAGAGCGGGCTGGGGAATCTGTATCCCAGACAGGGTCCCTGGTGGTGCAGACACTCCAGCCTCCAGGTACTGGCTCTCTCGGAACCACTGTCTGAAGGGAACTAACAAGAAGGACTGAGGAGTCACGGTGGGCTCTGGTGCCACAGAAACAAGGACGTCAACAACCCACTCGAGGCAGCAGAGTTTCTTAGAAATTGTGAACAGAATGAATGGGGACTAAGCACAGAGGGAGGGCCTACTCGTGAGTTCCTGAACCAGGAGCTAAAATCAGGACAAAGATGGGTGGCGATGTGATCCTTTCAAAGAAAATACTCGGTTCTCTTTAAGATGAGCTCTGAGCTCTCTCCATATTTGATTTTGTCCAGCCTCTGAGAGCTTGGAAATTGGGCCAGCCTCACAAGAGACTCCAATTAGTGCTCATTTTTTCACATACGGCAATGCACATGCCAAAAAAAACAAAAAACAAATATAATTAACAAAACTGTTTCAGCTGAAAGTGAAGTTAGCCAAATACATCAGCAATTCATTTATAGATCCAAAATGGCAGCTTGCTTGGCCTCTGACCCTTCACACCACAATATTTATCCCTAATTGGAGCACCACCATTAAAAAAAAAAAAAAGCCCCTCTCTTGTTTCTGAAGCCCCACATCTTTCTGAAGCTCCCTAGAGAACTGTCAGTCACTCGCCAAGATATAGAAATTCCTTATTTTGTTTAGCGCTCTCTGTAAATGATCCAGGACACACACTCACCCCACGCTGACATACTCACCTCAACTAGTAAACACCATCTGAGGCAACCAGTCCTTCCGCAGGGCCTGCTGAATACCTAACACACTCACAACACTTTTTTTTTTGGCAAAACACTTGCTTTCAATAAAAGGGGAAGAAACAAACTTTCTCACATTCCCTCACATGTTAAAGAAGGAAAAAAGTTCGATTGTACTTCTGAGCTGAAAAAAATCCATCAAAACTAAATATCCAATGTCACTTTTTCAAAGAAGAGGGAGGCAGCCTCAATTCATAGAATTTATGTCTTCTGACCTGCTAACAAATGTTGTTAGTTTAAGTAACAGATACAAACGTTCTAAGGCTGGCTGCCATCTTAGAAGAGCTCCACAATGATTTTCGAGTCTCAAAAAAAAGGCTGAATGATCCTTTACGAGATCCTGTAAAGTTTATTTTGAACTATGACTGAGGCAGAGGGTAACTGGAAAAGATCAGTACTGAAAATCAAGGGACCTTAATTCTAGGTTTTGGTCTCTTGTTGCCACACAGCAAGGTCAAGAGGATGTCGTATAATAGTTTTTTGATCTTTCCCATCATCACGGTACAAGAGAATGATACGTCTCCCTGTCTCAAAGGATATCTGGAGCTTGGCAGGATGTGTGGATACATCTGAAAAAGGACGGGCAAAATGGCTTACCTTTAGGCCCCCTCAAACCAAGAGCACCAGGGGGGCCTTTAATGCCTGGGAGGCCACGAAGTCCCATCTGGCCTGGGAACCCATTCTCTCCAGGTGGTCCCGGGGGACCAGGGGGTCCAGGCCTCCCAGGGAGGCCAGACGCCCCTGAGTCCGGTCGCTTGAGACTAGCAGCCATCTCAGCAAGATGCTCTAAAAGATAATAAACAAAACAGCCCAGAGAAGTCAGAAACATGAAAGTGATTCAAATGAAAAAAAAAAGGGGGGGGTTATTTCAAGTGTCTTTTTTTCTAAATGTGTCACCAGAGCTTCAAAATTCGTGGTGGGAAGTGAATAGAGTTAGATCATCTTTCCATGGACTTTCTGCCAAGAAGCTTCCCTGGTGCTGTTTTATTCAGCTCTTTTGGGATATATTTGGTCCTGCTGTTGTGAGACAAGGGCAGGGGGATAACACACACACACACACACACACACACACACACACAGCAAAGCTTTCAGGTGAGTAGTGTTCTAAAAGGATGAGTCTGTCACCTGAGTCCCAGCTGGTTATCTGAAAACCCAGGACGGGAAGAAAATGAGTTTCTTAACAGAGGGAGAAGTGGATGTCCCAAAGCTTTTTAAAAGCCAAGGACATTGTCCAGAATTAGTATTGAGAGAGCATTTGAGACCTAGCCCCACATTTTCAGTCTGAAGATATTAAGTGACCTAAATATCCTGAGCATTCACAACTTCTTATAAATTCCCCTCTCAAAAGTTTTTTCATGCTTGGAATAGACAACAGACATTAAAAATAGCCCGCTTCTTGGGAATGTTCACAGTCTGTCTTAAAAATTAATAACTGTGTGGGCTTTTTCAGGAACCATTAAATAGATTAAGAATCATCCACTGAAACCATGAAGAGCAAGAAACCTTTCCTATGGAAATACTCTAAGGGAAATATGCCAGTGTAATATTTTTTAAAGGTGTGAAGGAGATTATGAATTGGAAACAAATTTCTAACGAACATTTTAAAATTGTTTAAATGTGAGCATTCTAGTTTGCCTTATGTAAGAGCATAAAATTATAATTTTCTAGGGATATAACGTTTAAAATTGAAATATCCTTTCAAGATTAAATGTCTGCCATAAAGAGACTTATATTGGCTTTCAAATATAGAAGTGACAATTTCATTCTGGAAAACTCTACAAGTCTACCAGACAAATTAGACTATCTCATGAGCTTGCAAAAGAAGAGTATTTATCATGACGGAATTGGTTCCAACTAGAATAAGGTAATTATTTGTTAGAAGGCCCCAAAGTTACAGGATCTCCCCAGTTCCTGTCTCCCCAATTTCTTCCTTTTCTATGTGATTTTAGAACTAGACCAATTCTAAAACAGCTATATAGCAATTGCTATAGCTAATGAATTTAGATAAAGGTTAACAAATGTAAAAATATATCACCCATTTTGGTAAAATACTAGTTATTGGTTTTCTACATACATGATACATGAGTAGAGATAATGTCCTTATGCTTCTTATGGGCATGAAGACTGTCAGTTACTTCACATATAAGCTACAGAGAGAGCCAGGGTCAGTGCCAGGGACACACTAAGTGGTAGGATGTTAAGGAGGGGAAAGATACCTGAGAATCTGTGTTCCAAAGGGTGGGGGGGGGAAGCTTGTGTGTGTTTGTGTGTGTGCTTTCTTGTAAATTAACCTCCTTGGCAAAAAACAAAACCAAGAACAAAAATAGGCTAACCCAGGGGCGCCTGCGTGGCTCAGTTGGTTAAGCGTCTGACTCTTGGTTTTGGCTCAGGTCGTGATCTCAGGGTTGTGATCTCAGGATCATGAGATGAGTGCCGTGCTGGGCTCCCTGCTCAGTGGGGAGTCTGCTTAAGACTTTCTCTCCCTTTCCCCCTGCCCCTTCCCCCCACTGGCTCGTGTGCTCATTCTTTCTCTCTCTCTCTCTCTCTAAAATAAATAAATCTTAAAAAAAAAAACGGGCTAACCTATAAAGATAAAAATTTTCTTTGAGGCTATAAGCTATTCTGTGGCCAAAAAATTAGATAAAACAATTAATATAATATTATTCAGAATCTCCCACCTTTAAAGCACACCAAAAGTCAAGACTATGATTTATTTACCTTGCATGACTCTCATGCAAACCTGCTTAATGTGCTGATCTGTCGGTGCTCTACCCTGAGACAGGGGGAAAAAAAAAAAAGATGGTTTATACACAGAACCATAAAGAAGACATTGTTAAATGGTAACCTGACAGACTCAGCAAGTGGCCAGGTGGCTGGATTTACAGGAGAACTCTCCCACACTGCTGAGGAGCTGGTGTCTGGGCTAGCCTGGCTCCCAGCCCCCCTCCTGGGGCTGTGAGCTGGAGTCTCCAAAGGGAAACCCCAGGGACTGCCCACCACTCACTGGAAGGCCCTGGATGCCAGGCAGGCCGGTGGCACCCTGCTCTCCCTGCACGCCTCGTGGTCCAGGGGGTCCTCTTGGTCCTTCAACGCCAGGAAGCCCCCGACTTCCTTCGGGCCCCCTCAAGCCGGGTTCCCCAGGGTTACCCACCTAGAACAAAATGACACATTATAAAACCAGGGCTATCCACAAGTCATGTGTCTGCTTAATATTAATACAAGACTTACGTGAAATTTGGGGTTTGCTTACATTCTGTCTCCCAAGAGATGTTTGCTCAGAGGTTACAAATTCTCAAGGTAAAGACACAGAATGCCACAGTCTCTGAGAATTCCAGTTCAAGTAAAGTTTTTCAAAATCTTTCTTTTTGGTATAGTTATTATTTCAAAATGTTAATTGAAATAATGCATTTTTAAACTACATTCTTTATACTTTAAGCCACTTCCTAAGAACAAGTTCATTTTTAATAAGACTTGTGCACTTTTTCTGGCCACAAAAAGGCCCCTGAGTTCATACAAGACATGTTACTTTGTATATCACCAATACAGAAAGCATAAAATAAAGATATTTCCAAGGACATAAGTTATTTAGCTTTGTAACACTCAGGAGAATTTGAAGCAGATGTATCCAGGAATTATAAAATACTAACATTAACTAAATACATTTAAAATGCCACATTTAAAATGCTGCAGTTAAAATGAATACATTTAAAATACTGGAACAAAAAGAATGAGTCCATAATTTATCTAAGTCTTGAGGAAGTTAAAAATCTAAATATTAAAGAAGTTAAAAAAATAAACCAACTGTTTCCTTAGCACAAAAGCATATACCAGATTTTTTTTTCCTGAAAGCAGACCACTAAAAACATTTTTAAAAGTCCCCATCTACAATAACTGCTTTAAAACAAAGCTAAATTAATTCACTTTCGGTTAAACTACCTCTGGTAAAATTTATGGCATAGTAGTTACAATGTGCCATTGTTTATAGAATAAGAATGAGAAGATAAAAGGACAGGAGGCAACAAGGGAGTGCTAGGGCTCAAAATGAAGTTCATGAAGCAACTTAACCCTGCTTTTTCATATGCAACATTTATGTAGAAACAAACTGAGGGTTCTAGAGGGGAGGGGGGTGGGGGGATGGGTTAGCCTGGTGATGGGTATTCAAGAGGGCACGTATGGAATGGAGCACTGGGTGTTATACGAAAACAACAGATCATGGATCACCACATCAAAAGCTAATGATGTAATGTATGGTGATTAACATAACATAATAAAAAAAAGTTAACTCTTTCAAACGGTCAGATGTTTTAAGCTGAAGGAAGAAGGTGATGAGGCAGGGCTTTCACTAGATGCCTCTGAATAAAGCTCAGCGCCTATACTTTTTCCAATCTTTCTTTAGGCAAAAAAATTGATACTCATCTAAGTCAACTTGTCAAAATTGCTTCTATGAAGAAATTATGGCCTAAAAGACTTCCTGAAAGACAGTGTCAACAGAGAGAGCTAAGGATGTGCTGTGGAGGGTTCAGAGCTGTCAGATGACTACAGAATAAAACTACAGCAACTTCTAAAACAACCCTGAGGAGACGCCAAAATGAATTTGGAAGTGCACTAAAGAACTGGCAGAAAACAAAGGAGGCCAAATCAGAGTCTGTCATCTTGTTGACAATGTCTGAAATACTACTACAACATGGGACAGGACATTTTCGATGAAGGGATCAAGGGCCAACATGGCCAGGATAGCTCAAGGGCCCCAGGGCTCTGGAATGAATTCCTCAATCGAGTGGTATACTGAAGTAGAAACTGGAGGTACAGTCTTCACCTACTTATCAGGTTTGTCTCTGCTGAGGTCACCGAGCAAAGTGAAAGTGTGTCTCCTTGACTCTGGGACAACACACTTCAGCTGCATCAGAATTAGGTGGGTAGTGGCAGAGAAGAGAAAGGGGTAGGAAGGGGAGGTGATAAATCAAGAGTTAATTCCTAGTAATATACCCAAATTTAAATGAAATTAACTCATTTTGACCACTGCATTGTTCATTCACTTTTTCCTTTTACAACAAATTCTTACCATTGAACATTACCGGTTATTTCTAGATAGTGAGGTAGGATTTCTATTATCAAATCCTATCAAGGTTTACTCTTCACATTTTTTTCTCAATCCTAAACCATTCCTGTCAAAGATTCTTAGGTGTAAAGATGTTACTTAAAGCTTGAGACTGTCAACGGTGTTTGGAGAGTGTGTGTAAACAGGTGAGTTAATACAACATAATAGTTTCCATCTCAGGGGCATGTGAAGAGCCCAGGGCTGGCACTGCAACCAAGTCTGGGGGGCAGGGGTGTCCTCCGGGGGGAAAGCTGAGCTGAGGATCGGGCTACATGCCTAAGTAGGAGGTAGCTCTTCTAAGGAAAGAGGAAGAGTGTTCCAGGCTAGGAGAACAGCACAAGGCATTAAATAGCATGCCAAGTAAAAACAATTGATGAAGTTCCAGATAGCTACAGATGAGGTTGGCAAGGCAGAGATCACTTCATCAAAGACTTTGTATATTTTGCTAAGAGTCTGATTTTATTCTATCAAATGTCATTCCTGAAGGGCTTATGCAGAGGAGGGATAAAGAGTGGGCTTTATATTTTTCTCTAGATGGCACTGGCTGCTATGAGGATAATGTGTTGGGTAGGGACAGAGAAGAGTGGAGAAGATTCTAGAAACAGGAAGGACTAAAAGATTAAATGGAAGCTAGTGGTGGTGGCCTTTGAGGTTAAGGTCTGAGCTTCATCTTTTCCCTTATACTCTCTTAAATTTCTTATTGTATTAAATGTGCATTCCTTTCAAATTAGTGAATCATCCCAGGTTTGCTGGTTCTCTACTTGGTTCTATACTTGATTCTATTAATTTTGTTCTAATAATTGGTTCTATTATTGGTTCTATAATTCTGAATACATCTAATCTCTAAGGAGATCAGTTTAGTTTCTGTAAAATGATGAATTGAATGAGATGATCATTTTCTAGCTTTAATAATTGTCTATTAAATTTTCTGATGCATTACGACTTTATGTTACTTCCCCAACTAGAACACACAGGAGATTAATAAAATTACTGAAATATTTGCAATGGCATGAGTGCCAATGAAATTCATTTATACTCTTGTCACCACAAAGGACAAGTCAGTTCTTTTAAAATGACCCATTTGTGAAAGAAATTACTATATATACTACTCATTGAGCTACTTATGATAAAAACTTCCTTTAGAGTGGATTAATTCAAAAGGCAGATCCATTTACACTGTTGTGAGGTGGTTCCCCCCCACCTTTGGATGAATCCATTACTTAAAGAGTAAATTTAGACATTAATTTCCTTGAAGGTAAGTCCTTTAAGAATTGAATTTTATAGTGATTTCATAAAGCAGAGCATTGCATTTTCTATGGCTTTATTGATATTTTTATTTTTTTTTATACCATTATTGTTCATTGTACTTACAGATCCCTTTGGCCCAGGTAATCCTATCTCTCCCTAAATCAATAAAACAAAATTATGTTAGAACCATGAATTCACGTTTGATAGTTTACTAAAAACATTTAATAGGTTATTGTGTTGCTGAAATCTATAGAAAACCATGAAGAGATGAACTCTGACACTAGAGAAAAACATGAGATTCAAAATTTGGATTCTAGTCCCAGTTCTGCTACTTTCTGAGCTTTGTAACCTCCTAGCTTTTGACTAACTTATCTGTTAAATAACATGGTAGAATCGGAGCTCTACTAGGCTCCAACCAGATCTAAAATGCTAGGTGTTGAGAATTAAAATGTGTAAGTCAAAAGACATTAAACTAGCATGCTGTTTTAAAATATAGTGGACATTTAAACCTGATGACTTCATTTTTGAAACTCTAACAGTATTCTAAAACTCATCTGGAAAAGTCTATCAAACCAAATATGCCTGACTTTATGCATAAATCTCTCACCCCTAATTCTAGATGTGAATTCAGCTCAAGTTCAAGCACATCAGTTCATCTCCACCACAAAACAATGATTTAAAACATCCTCTTAGCCCATAAAATGAAAAATTTTAACAGAAAATAAAATTAAAATAATTCTTTTCAAATTTACTTAATAGAGAGCTTTGCCTAATTCAGATGTTAAATTAATATTAGCTCTAAATCCTGAAAATCTGAATAAAACAACATTACAAGAATTTTTTTTTCTGCACTAAGTGCTCTCTGGAACTATTTTATGAGAAATCTATCACCACTCCAAAGGACCAAATGTAAGTTTCCACATTAGGTCATGTTAGATTGTGTCAAAACCACAAAGATGAGCCCGCAGATGTAGCAGTTCTGGCAGTAAAGAAAATTTTTTCTCATTCCTGCTGCCTTCCTGGAGATTTAGCAGCAGCATCCTCTGGAGATGGAGGTCACTTCTTTGGAAGGTTTTAGACTACAGAAAGTACCCACGGTCAAACTTGTGAGCCACGGCTTTCTGGCTATAATAAAATTCATTTTGTTTCCATGATAGGCACTATTCATAGACTTTCTATAGTCATCTAAGAATCACTTTGAATGTCTAGGTGTAAAGCCACAAGAAAGTCACCACCTATAAGAGAACACTTTGTTCTTCAAAGGCTTAAGGCCTGGTCTATCAATTTTGGGATGTTTACCCTCTGCTTTACTTGAACTTGGCTGCAGTCTTGGGGAGTCATTCATTAGTTTATGTAAAAACACCGCAGCCGCTGAAGAAGTCAGCAAGGATAACAGTATCAGAGAAAAAGAAAAATTATGTTTCTAGTACAGTTAGAAATCAGTAAGGCTCATCATTAACCAAAACAAAATGTCTTACAAGTTCACCCCTTTCTCCTGCTTCACCTTCTTCACCAGATGAACCCTAAAAATTAAAATTAAAAGTCACATTTTTGAATTCTTAGTCCCTTGTCTCAGTTTTAACCCGTCAACATTGATAAGCATTCCTAAGTGCCCACGGTGCCCACCAGATCATGCAGAAATACAAAATGCCCTCAATGGCTTTTCAATCTAGCTGTCAGTGGCTAGTCAAAAATAGAACAGAGCCTAGAGAAAAGATAGCAGGTGAGGTTGAGTTTCTTCTAAAGTTAAGGATTAATGATTGTATCCAGCAATTTTATAATTAGGTAATCCTTGAAAAAAGGCTTTCACTGTAGAAAAAGGAACCCAGAAAAAGGACTAACTCTAATTCACATTCACACTTTATTTGTTAAGGTCTTGATACAGAAAAACTCAAAATATGATGATGCGGCTCTAGAAGGCTCCATCGGTCACAAGTAAACCAATCTGGTGAATGAGAGCAAGGGACACTCTTTTCAATGTGTCATCTTGGAGGCAGAGCAATCATCAGCTCCAGCCTATTAAAGCAGTAGATAAGGTTACAAACCAAACTAAACTCTAGCTTTCACACACTATGAAGCACAGTTGAGAAACACTGCTAGCCTCCGTCCTTTTATTCACACCCATAAACCAGCCAGTGCCCCCTGCTGGTGAGGCACCTCCATGCACATCACGGACTGCATTTCATACTCTCCTGATAGGACCTACCTGTCCACCCTTTGGACCTGGCTCACCGACTACTCCCTGTAACGAATAAAACATAATACCTTTTCAGTATTTTGAGATGTTCAATTCTATAATTTCAAATGAACCAACTTCCCTCCTCAGGCTGGTAGATAAGGGCAAGTATGAATAATGTGACAGATGAGGACTTGCTCCTCTCCCCACAACCTAACAACAGGGCTCCAGGCTGGGCGTGGAGCTTACTTAAAAAAAAAAAAAAAAAAAAATCAGGATGACAACCTAACAACAGGGCTCCAGGCTGGGCGTGGAGCTTACTTAAAAAAAAAAAAAAAAAAATCAGGATGACAACCTAACAACAGCCAGGTAAGGCCTGAAGAAACTGACAGTTGTCCAAAAGCTGGCAACTCAGGGTGCTCTCTGATCACATCCACATAAAATTGGACTGGTAGGAATGTAAATTTAAAACTAAACAGGAACTATGATTACAACTGGCATTTTTACTTTTCTCAACTTTTGTATTTTCCTTCTGGTAAATTATTATATATATTTTTTTTATTTTTTTTAGCTCCTTAATCTCAACTCTCACTAATTCAGGATACCTTTCTTGATAGCTGTCCATGATAATTGCTATAAAAATCTCCACTGTGCTGAAAGCAAGCTCAGTTTCTCAATATAGTAAAACTCATCCTTCCAAATAAGGAACTTTTGGGGGGGGCTAGATATCTTACCCTGTCACCTTTCATTCCAGGAAGGCCAGGGGGGCCAGGCAAGCCAGGGAGGCCAGGACTGCCAGGAGAACCCTGAAAAACAAACACAGGGTCTCCAGAATCGCTGTTAGCACGACACTGCAGTCACACGAGGCAGACACAACCTTGGGTGTGTGGACTCTCGTCTTAAAATAAATGCGCTGTCGTTGGTTTAACTCTGCTCCTCAAATGTGCCTCTCTCTCAGGCTCTCCACCCGCTTGGTCCCACCTCGGAGGTCCTCAGTTCCTGGATTTGCACCCTTGCCAACAGTGGGCTCTTTCAGTGGAGTCCCTGCAATAGTGCTGCTTCTCTGGCTGTGTAAACAAGCAGGGCTCAAGAAGTAAAAGACAGCGCTCACGCCCACTTCTCTTCAATTCCAAGAACCACCAGAGGCCAAGTGTAGCACTTCACGTTTCTCCTGGTTTCAAAATGTATGCTGCAAACCACACTGATTAAAATACCCTCGGAGGGTATCCTAGGTATAACTTGAAATTTCCCATTTACATTTTCACGCGTTCACATAACAATAGAAATCAAGTACAGATGATTAAGTCACCCTTTGTACATTGTTTTTCTCTCCTTGCTTATTTTTTAAAATGTATTGTGTTTTGTATAAAGCAAATAAACTTCTGGAGGCTAGCAATATTACTTACCAGTTTACCTGGTAGTCCTGGGGGTCCCACTGGTCCTATTTCTCCTCTACTGCCCTGGAAAAACACAAACATGACCGTCAACTGGCTAGTTTGCCAAAACTCAAATGCTTAATTACTATGTCAGTAAAACAACACTCTACTTAGGTTTTTGTTTAAATACAAAAGTCATCAAAGTATTCTCCCCATCTTCGACTGAAGGCAGAGACCTTTCTGTAAAATGCCCCCAGCCTCCCCAGTGTTTATCGTTCGGTGAATGTGGTCATGATGTTCCTTGTGACTATGGCCCATTAGATAAAAACGATGTCTGCTACATCTGTGTGAAATGACAATTGGTAATTTCCAGCATCTGAATCACAATGTAACTTATATTATGGTTATCTGTGTACGTGTTTTATCTTCTCATTAGAGTGTGTGTTCTTGAGGTATTAGGTACATCAATTTTGAATTCCACCTAATGTCTAAAACACGGTAAATTTCTGGTCCACAGTACATATTAAAGCAGCATCTAGCAAACGATCTTGAACTGCACAAGAGTGGAAAAAAAAAAGAGAAACAGGACGGGGATGTTTGCCTTTAAATTACTAATGCGACTTCAAAAAGACAGAATAGAAATTTACAAAGTTTCTAACATACAAAACTCTTTGTTCTACTCATTCTTGTTCTAAACATGTCTTAAAAGATTAAATAAACTTTGGAAAGTATAATTTATAATGAAAATACACCGAAAGCAACATTTCATTTTGTGAGCCAATTTCAATTCTTTATTTGAAACTCTAAGCCCTTTGAGAAAAGGAGACACATGAATTCTTCAATTTCTTTCCCCAAGAACCTCATACAGTCTTATGCAGTCTGATAAAAGCTTGTTTTATTTCTTTTTTTTTTTAAGATTTTATTTATTTATTTGAGAGAGAGAGAATGAGAGACAGAGAGCACGAGAGGGAAGAGGGCAGAGGGAGAAGCAGACCCCCTGCAGAGCAGGGAGCCCGATGCGGGACTCGATCCCAGGACTCCAGGATCATGACCTGAGCCAAAGGCCGTCGCTTAACCAACTGAGCCACCCAGGCGCCCAAGCTTGTTTTATTTCTAACTCATATTCAACTAAACTGAACACAAGGTTATTGGATAAATAATCACATCTCCTGGATAGTGTATATAAAAATGAAAGTAGTCTTTTGAGTTCATTTTACTTTAAAATGACATGACAACTTCATATTAATTCTTGATATTTATAAATGCTCCTGCTAAGATTATCCTGATCTGGCCCATATGCTATTCATTTATCTCTAAGTTGAACCAAGTGTCAAGGTCCATAATCCTTCTGAATTTTCAGTTTCTTTAAAGGATTAAGTAATATTTGCCAAATTACAAGTCTCTAGCTTTGAGCTACACTTAAGTGGCAGTTGTCTCAAATGACTTATAGGTGATTTAAATGAAATGCTCTTAAATAGTTTTCAAAAAATTTTATATAAGCAACCTGTCTAATATGTAAGTTTGGATGATACATTGGCCCTTAACCCTTGTGAGCGGCTTAGAAGCCTGAGGCAGGCCTATGAGGATGGGCACTGGAAAGATGTAAGACTAGATGAAAACCAGCCACTGTGATAGATTCTTCTATCCATCTATTAATATAAAGATTGGGTTCTACCCCATTAATTTAGCCCAGCACTTGAAAGTTCAAGACAGATTTTCTTCAGTATATCTGCTCTGTTGGCATTTTCAAATAATTTCTGAACTGCATCATGATGAAGATCCGAAATGTCATTGGGCTAACATGACTTTAATTCACAATATAATTAACAGTCATTGGTGGGAAAACTAATTAATGATATCAGAAGGGGAAAGCAGTTCTTGGTACAACCTCAAGTATTCACTTCTTTTATATATATATGTGTATATATATGTACATATATATATTATATATATACAAAACTGTATATATATGTACATATATATACATATATATATATTATATATATATACAAAACCGTCCTTCGGTCAAGGGTATACGAGTAGTTGCACTCCCGTTAGAACCTCCAAACAAACTCTCAAGTATTCACTTCTAAATACATGCATCATTATGCCAAAAGAAAGATGACTGATGTACTTTTTTTCTCTTTCACAAACCAAAGGGCTAAGTTAAAATAAAGGACTGTGTGACTTTTCATTTCTCTTTTGTTGGGATTATTTTGCCAAAGACAAAGATTTTCTCTGCTGGTACTTATTTTCTCTTTCATGAGCTCCTATTAGTCAATTTGTAAGTGTTTTCCAACCACTGGCAGGCCCTTGGTAACACATATGAATGGCTCAGAACCCCAGTGGAGACTATTCTGCTGACCTTCTGTTCCCAAGAGAGCCCAGCATGCACAGGTCGTAAAATTACAAGCATTTACTCCTCTGTTAGTACACAAACAGACAGAATGTGTTCCTCATTTTTTTTTTCTCTTTCATCCTTTAAATTCTTGGCCATTTTAAACGTAGGTATTTCTATAGAAATCACCTCAAGGTTGAAAAAGGTAATGTTGATTTTCACAACAATGACCAAGCAGTTATGAATAAAGTGTTAGGACAAGATTTTCTGATGGCCATTCCTATGATTTCTATGTATTCCAAAAACATGTAAGTAAGATGAACATGAAGTGTTCATGAAGTGTGAACATGAACCGAGATATAAATAGTCATATCTAAAAACATAGGTTAAACTGAACACATGTTGTAGGGAGCAATTAACCATGACCTTGTAACCCCAGGTGTGCTAAACTTATAAATGGTAAATCTCCTATGTTTCAACAGCTGTGGTATAACCATATTCTCAGATGTGGGCAAGGGAAACTGGTAGGGATATGGCTTTTCTGCCCAGTAGCTAAGATTTATGAGCCCCGTGACAACAAGAGTTATGATCTGTAACAAAAGGATTGTAAGGAACCAGGAAAAAAGGCAAAATCCTACCATTAAAAATATGAGGACCAAATTAAAGGCTTTTTTTTCCCTCTTGGACACTCTGTGCCACCATATATATCTCCAGCATGTTCAGACACATCTGCCAACCACTCCCTACTTAAGAAGCCAATCGAGGCCTTAAAAAAGTTGCAGACCCTCTACCAGTGATTCCCAACTCTGGCTGTGCATCAGAATCCCCCAGAGTGTTTTAGAAATATATTTCACTAGATGTCTTCCACCACTCCATCTCCTTGTTCTTCCTCCTATCTTCCCCCCTCTCCCCTAGATTCTTATTCTGTGATTTTGAGGTCAGACCCAGGAATCTGTTTGGGTTTATGTTGTGTTTGTTTGTCTTCACCAGCTTTACTTTAGACTCTTGTTAAATGCTCACTACGAAAATTCCATAAACACCAAAATTTAAAGTTTGCTAAATATGCCTTGTACCTTTAGAATTGGGCAAGCTAACTTCAAATAAAAACCATCCCGCAGAGCCTTGACTTGAGCCGTCGAGGCACTGGAGGGTGGAGATGAAGCTGCGGGCATTGAGCCCCACTGCCAGGTCTGAAACCAGGCTCCACCATGTTGGCCCCAGCCAACTCCAGCCCCACAACTTCTCCTCTCTGTGCCTCAGTTTCCTCACCTGTAGAGTGGGGATAAAAACAATACCAATCTCATAGGGTTTTTGAAAGGACTGAATAGATACATAAAGCACTTAGAACAGTACGTGGCTAGAGTAAGCACTATGAGAGCATTAGTTATTTTTATCCAAGGTTTTACCCAAGAACTATAGAAATCAGTCAAAATTAAGTATTTTAATCTGTTTAATTAAATGTTCTTTGCCTTTCAAATCTCCCAAGTTTCTTTAAAAGTACAAGTTGCTCTTGGGGGAAAAAAAAAAAAAAGTCCCTAGTCCTCATTTCTCCAGTTTCTGTCAAGACCATTGATCACCAAGAATCGTCTTCTTTTTTTTTCAGAGAGTGGGAGGGGGGCGGGGCAGGGAGAGAGGGAGACAGAATCCCAAGCAGGCTCCACACCCAGTGCGGAGCCTGATGTGGGGCTCAATCTCACAACCCTGAGATCATGACTTGAGCCAAAATCAAGAGTCAGACACTTAACCGACTGAGCCACCCCAAGAAGGCACCTTCTTTATAAACAAGTACTAAGAGCTATTTTGCAAAACTCATTTCAAGAAATACAGACAAATAATTCCATCTGGAAGTCTTCCTTTTCAAATGGAAATACTAGACTTCTAAAATATCACAGAAAAAATCTACTTCATTATACTTGTGTTGTCATAAGTATTTTGCAAAAAAAAGAAATTTAGATTTTATTGCATTGTGCTGTAGATTGTGATGGTGGTTGTATTTGCCTGATTACCCAAAATGCTAACTAGTTGAAGAATGAACATTATTCTTAGTACCATGCTAATTTTAGAAGTGAGAAATTACAAATCATTATACTTAGTCTGAATCATATACATAAGTGCCTCTCTCTGGGAAAAAGGATGCTGATTAACCCAGAAGATCAATTATGATTTCTACAGATTGTTGCTTTTACAAACCCATCTTCATATTAACATTGGAAGATCATATTAGTCCTACCACAATGATAATTTTTAGGTTTGTCATAAAGATATTTTAAAAATCTATTCAATTTTACAGCATTGTATAGTTTATATTTTTCTCTGGTGTAGGTTTAAATATTCCCTCACACACAGAGGCAGATCAAAATCTATAACCATCACAGCTGCTTCACAGATTATTGACAGGGATAATTTTCCATGGCCTGGGTGGCACAGGAATGCAGTTTCGATCATTCCACAACACACCATATGTGGACCTCTGTGCTCAGAGCTGTTGGTGATAGGGTGGGGGTGGGACCTCAAGAGAAAATGGGGGAGGCTCTGTACTCCAGGAGTGTATAATCTTCAGAAAACTGGAAGTAGATCAGCATGGCACTCATCCCAGTCAGAAACATGAGAGCAGAGCAAACACAACTTACTCAGCAAAAGCCCTGGCAAGTTCTGGGAAGCCTGAAAGAGGGAAATGGACCAGGAGCCACGGCGTCCAAGGCCGCCGCCATTCTCCTGCTGTAAACCAGGAGTCACCCAGATCCAG